GGTTGAGGTACCCTGCTCTGCACTGCAAGAACCAGTGCCTGTTAATAGAGCCTTGATGCCTCGCCTTCATTGGGAATGAGGATACTTTTTAAAAAAGTAATTTAATTTTTATGAGACGCTTTACAGAAAAAGTTGATTTAAACCAACACAGGCAAAGGGTGAGTAAAAAGAATAAAAAAGTAAAACGCACGTAAGTAAACAAGGATCTAAAAAAAGTCCTGGAGGTTACCATTTCCCAATATATTATTACTTAATTTTGAATCACAGAATACATGACATCATTTTAGAAGACTAAGAATGGCTATTAAGCTTTGAGCTAAGAAGAAATCATCACCTGAAATTATGATAAATGAATTTATATTAGATTCTCACCGATGATAATAGAACTGATGCTGAGAATCGAGTCCAATTTAAATCTCTCACGAAGTTAAAATTCAGACTCCATACATAGAGAAGCCCACATTTTGGATCAGGTAGACATCCACGTATTAAGTTGTAATCCAGGAAGGATTTCCAATTTGAATTGAAATCTTGAGTCCAGTTTACAGTAAATGAGGATACCATCAAATCCTGGCTCATCGACACGACTGCTCTGTTTTGGTTGGAGGAACAATTCCAGCAACTCAACAAGGTATAATCATTTCTGTTTCAAATAAAACTGGTGTAAAGCTGGTCCTTTGCGCCTGGTCTCCAAGTAACACTGTGGTCTCTTGAGGACGAACAACGTAAGGGAGCTGGTTGGTCTCTGACTAGCTTTTGTGATTTCCACAGCAGTGTCATCAAATGCAGTAAGCATAAGAAGACACACGTCAACTTTCTGTTTAGGGAAAGATTCTGAGCTATTGGGACACCAGCCAATGGTCAGCAGTTTGAAGTACGTCGAAAAGGACTGGGTGGATGTCACAGAAGGAGGTCATCTCCACCCGGAAGGCAAATTTTATTTGTTTGTTTGTTTGTTTGTTTGTATTTCAAATTTGGTCACTGCCCATCTCACTAGGGAGCACTTCTGGCCGGGTGGATGTCACAGAAGGAGGTCATCTCCATCCGGAAGGCAAATTTTATTTATTTATTTATTTATTTATT